TAGTGAGGATTATCTAGTACACACTAGTGAATTTTTCTTTGAAATTTCCAAGAAAACGTAACAATAATGGTCATGAGAGGATATTGGATTGGATTTAAGGTTGTTTTGCATGTACTGGCGAAGATATGATTAAGAATCGCTTGAAATTTTGACGTAATATTTTTGAAACGATAACAGATGCCTGTGTAAAATTTGAGATTGATTCACAACACCATTTTGCAGTTATTAAATATTAAACTTTTCAATTGACACAGCCTCTTATGGGAAAAATAAAAAATTTCTGTAAATACAGTCTAAAATATAAAATGTTGTTGAAATTTCGAAAATTTACTATTGGAGCAAATATGAAACGATGATAAACCTACATGACGGTTGACTAAAATTTGTTTTCATTAATTTGTTTAAACAATATAATAATTATGCATAAAATCAAATAGAATATAATAATTTTTAATAGCTATTATTTGAACTAATTAATGCATTGAAATATTAATTGAAAATTGAGTGCGATAAATATAACGAATTATAGAAGCGGTCATAAACTTTTGTTTTGACTGTACGTGCAAAACGTCCTTCAAGGAAAAATGGTTGAGAGAATTGAAACTTCAGACGGAATTTAAGAAAACTGGTGAGTTTTAAATGACCGACGAATATTCAGTACCAAAATCGCATAAATTGAAAATTTTTCCTTATTTTTTCATAATTTTGCAACGAAGTTGTGAACTTTAACAAGGGCATTTTTTTGCGAGGCCAGATTTTAATTAAAATGTCGGGGCTGAAGAGAGATAGCGATTTTCTACGTGTACATATTTTATAGGATAAATGGAAGCAATAAAAAAGATATCCATTAAAATATCACAATCTTCTTTCAATTCCGGGATATTAGCGAAAAGCTGGAGTAGCACTGAAAAATTCCGTAAATATTTTAAATTCTGTCTACAGCTCCCCTGAATGTTCAATCCACTGAATGCTGTATTAGCTGTTCAATTTTTTCGACGACTCTCAAAAATTCCAGCGTCTATTGCCAAATTAGTGACCGTTTGAAATGAAAAATCAAATTCTCCGAGTTCATAATAAATTTAGTGAACGTTTTTAAAAAAAAATTTCATTAAAACTCACTCCAGTCATTCTTTTTCCGCCAAAAAATATTGGAGACCGTCTAAAAGTGTCCCAGTCTTTTTACGAATTTAATTTTTTCCTTCAATTCTACTGTTATCTCACTTTTCTTATTTTTCCACAATTTCGAAAAAATCGTTATCTAACTTCAATCACTCATTATTCGCTCCTGATCGTGAAATACGAGAATTTACCATTTTTTATCGTTCAAATGCAATAAAATTCTGGGACAACTAAAATATTGAATAATTAATTCTCCCAGTCAATTTTTTTCCCTCGTCTCTTATCAAACCCCAGCCACATCCCATTTCACCCGCATTCCATTTTATCCCGTGCCCCATTTTGCCCCGCGTACCATTTAACCCGTATGTTCCATCTTGCCCGAGTCATCGCGATAATTGAAATAGCAGACGACATGATGTTTAAAATTTCAAGAAATTTAGAGTGTAAATTTTAGTACAAATGGAAAGGCCGAAATAAGAGGTTCGATGATCGCCCTGGGGTTTAAAAAAATCACGTCAGGTGTATCGAATCTTTTTGACGGCGCATAATTCCAGTTCTAACGGGCTGAGCTAGCGAGGGGGGAGGGG